CAGCTAGTTACATAATGAAGAGGAAGCTGCTGTCACAACTTGAGATAGACCAACTACACATTACATCCTGGACTCAAGAAGACCCAAAAGAATAACTGGATGTGCAGATAATACTTGAAACTGGAATGTCACTGCCATCCCCCCTCCCCATTACAGAGCACAGCAGCTGATATGAGGCATAAGATTATGGATAAATTAGTTACAATCAACTCTCAAGACTGATTACCAAGGCTCAAGGGAGAAGTACCATCAGATAGTATGCTCGAAGATGCCAATAAAGCCCTCATGACAATCCCCACTACCACCATAACTCAAACTAATGAACTGGAGATGCTTGGCTACACAATCAAGAACAGCAGTACATAGCCCCCTTGGAAAATGAGGTTGGAGGCAACTCAGAAAGAAGTTAGTCAGCTGGTGGAACTACAGAAGGGTGTGGAGATTAAGGATAAGACTTGGCTACTGAAAAAATACAAGGGCCTGGCTCCATCTGAAGCCCAAGAGGCTGTTAAACAAAGGCTCACAGCACTGGGTACCAGGATAAGGAGATACACTAGAGAAGCAGAGACCAAGAAGATAAATGTCCTGTTCTCCAAAGAACCATCCAAGGTACACTCCCAACTGCAGTGCAACAACACAGTAACAGCAGAGACACCAACAGCGAAACTGAGCAGTACTGGAAGAACAGATGGGAGAAAGAGAAGCCATAAAACACCAGTGCAAAGTGGATGCAGGACCTAAGAGCAGACCATAGCAATCTCCCAGAACAGGAACCAGTTACCATTACAGTAGCAGACATCCAGTGGGTCAAGAACATGAAGAGCTAGACAGCACCTGGCCCAGACATTATCCACACCTACTAGCTAAAGAAAGTAACAGCAGCGCATGAACACCTAGCAGCATAGATGAACCAGCGGCTAGCAACAGGCTCTCACCTAGACTGGCTAACACAAGGAAGGACAGTGCTGATCATGAAAGACCCCCACAAGATGGCCACTTATTGGCCAATAACCTGCCTCCCCACAACATGGAAAGTCTATCAGGCATCATAGCCACCAAGCTACAGGACCATATGGGCCAGTACAGGAGTACAGCTCAGAAGGGCATTGAGAACAACACCAGAGGCTCAAAACACCAGTTGCTCATAGATAGAGCAGTCGCCCGAGACTCAGGGTCTAGGTAGACCATTCTGAGCACAGCCTGGATTGATTACAGGAAAGCCTATGACTCAATGCCACACATATGGATTTGTGAATGCCTGTGGCTATACAAAGTCTTGAGGACCTTCCTCAAGAACTCAGTAGGACTGTGGAAGACAACACTAGAAGTCAACTCAAGACAGCTCGCACAAGTGGCCATCAAGCGCCGCATATACCAAGGTGATACACTGTCCTCATTGCTGTTCTGCATAGGCTTGAACCCCCTCAGCCAGATAATCACAAGGACTGAATACAGATACAAGTTCAAGAGTGGAGCTACCATTGCCACCTCCTCTACATGGATGACATCAAGCTGTATGCTAAGAATGAACAATACATCGACTCGCTGCTCCACCTGACATGGATTTACAGTGAGGACATTGGGACATCATTCACTCTGGAGAAGTGTGGCTGGATGGTAGTAAAGAGAGGGAAGGTAATTAAAGGGTGGAGCTACCAGTGGGGTAGAACTATCAATGGGCCACATAGCAGACATACAGACCAGCTACAAGTACCTTGGTATCCCACAGTCACATGGGAACCATGATGAGATGGCAAGGAAGTAGCAACATCCAAGGACCACCAAAGGATAAGGCAGGTCCAACTCAATGGGAAGAACAAGAGCCAGCTCAAAGGGAAGAACAAGATATATATTCAGCACGTATGCCCTGCCAGTCAACAGATACCCTGCCAGTATATTGAGCTGGCCAAAGGAGGACATGGAGGCTGCCAGTGTGAAGACCCGAAGCTCCTCACAATGTACAGAGATTTCCACCCCAAGTCCAACACCCAGAGACTGTAAGACCAGCCAGAAAGAGGGCGGGCGGAATCTGGTGAGTGTCAAAGCCACTGTCCTGGGTGAAACCCAGATAATCCAGGAGTACATCAGTAAGATGGCACCCAAAGATGAGCTGCTGAGAGAATTCCTGAGGCAGC